CTTCAGAGCTGAACAGCTTGCATGCAAATGCATCTTCATGAAGCATCAGGCTCTACAAGCGCTGCAGCATTACAGTTGAACTGATTCCAGGTTTTAGAGTCTCGTTTAGGGGTTTTCCGCAATCATAGATCGACTCGCAGGAGCTCGCCAGGAGCTCTAACCTTTGGTCAGGAGGACAAAGTGTGTGCTCTTCCTCAAACAGGAACCGTCTTCAGGCCGACGGGCGGCGTTAGCTCCTTCGTGGAGCTTCTTTAGCTCTTCTCCAGCTGAACCTTGTCCAGTTCCACTGAAAACAAAACATTTTACTTGAATGTCTGTTTCAATCCTGAACTTTGAAGCAAGCACACGGTGACTCCTTCAGCCCCGTTGCTTCCACGTCTCTTTCATCACAGCCGGGAGAATCTCACACCCCAAAGTTCAAGTGAGACACGCGGGTGACCCAGAGGATGAGGATTCGGTTATTTGAGACTGGTTTTAGTCTCGGTGAGGCATCGGGATGGAATGGTGGATCCTGCGAGGGCAGAGATGCCATTGTGGAGGGAAATCCTGGAAGATCAGAGAGCTTCCTCTGAGCTGCCGTCAGAGGGTCCAAAATGTCTCTGAGCAGGTTCTGTTCATCTTTATTGTTCATTTGAACAAACGTTAAAATCCGGACCTTTATGATGTTTATAGTTTTTATCATTTGAATGAAACTCCTGGAACCCCTTGGAGGTTTTGTGTTTGAAACATTCACAGACAACGTTTATATCTCCAACGAGGATCCATACTTCCTGTTTTAATCTCTAACTTTACAAGAATGAGCTTCACAGATTAAGTTGTTCTGCTGCATCAAAAATGGCCTAAAACAGGGGTGTCAAACATGCGGCAAGCGGATTAGATCCGGCCCGCAAAGTGGTTGTGTAAACTTTATTTTCATACTTTCCTCTGTAATGAGTATAAATAAAACAAAGCTGCGCTCAAGGCTCACACAAGAACTTGAATCACATCCTGAAGTTGGCCGCCACTCAGGATGTGACTTCTGATGTTGATGTGCTGGTGAAAGCTAAAAGATGTAAAGTAAAATGAGTCAAATATACTTTAAGTGCTGCGTGGAACTGATCTAGCCACGTGATCTGTAAGCTCTGAATCACTAAGGAATGTTTATTTTATTTATTGAATTTTTATTTTTATTTATTTATTTTTTTCAAGTACACTTCAGGTGTTGTACTTGTACTATTTTTGGATACTGTCCTCAGGCTCCAGCCTTGTTTTATATTGATCGTATTAAAACAAACAAAACAACCTGAAGATGTTTTTAATTTATTGGTTCGGCCCACTTGGGACTAGATTTCCCTCAATGTGGCCCCTGAGCTAAAATGAGTTTGACACCCCCAGCCTAAAAAGTCCTGAAGCTGTAAACCCAGGCGGCGTCAAGTGTTGGTCTGCTGCGTTTTCCATGCTTTACCAAGAAAGCCTCAAATAGCCGCAGGAAACGGGAACTCCTGAGGTCTGATCTGCAGGTTACACACACTTTCTTATCTGATGTAAACATTCATGCTTTGGAAGCAACATTACGCTCATTTTCATAGATGCTAAGCTCTAATTGCACCCGGATGATTTTCGTCCCCACCATAGTTGGTAAGCAGACGGGAGCGTTGCGGGTGACAGCTGACGGGAACAGAGCGAGGGATGGCGTGTAGGTCAGGCTTTTTCCAGTGCTGACAGATGGGAGCCAGGATAAAGGCGCCAGCTCCTTGTCACCATGCCAACTCCAGATAGAAGCACACTGGGATGAGGAAGAGGTCTTCCTCTTTAACTCGTGGCAACAACAGACATACACGTCCCGCCGTCCCCTTCTCTGCCACGCTAACACTTCTCAGGTGTCGGCGGGATCACCTGCTTCCTGCTTTCTCTTGTTGCTTCAGCACAGCAGCATTCTGAGGGAGATCGTTCCAACTTTTAGCTTCAAATCAAAACAAACTTCCACATCTCCGTCATTTTTGCTCCAGGAGCTTTTTAGTGCCTCCTGGACGTCTCCCTGGTGAGGTCTTCCGGGTACGTCCAACCGGGAGAAGGTCTAAAGGTAGACTCAGGACACGCTGGAGGGACTATGTCTCTCACCTGGCCAGGGAACACCTTGAGATTCCTCGCAGGAGCTGGCCCAAGCGGCTGGGAGAGGGAAGTCTGGGCCTCTCAGATCTATGTCACACTGAAAATTTACATTCATTGACCCGCCCATCTCGGCTCATGGCGGGAAAGGCTTTTGTTGGTTTAGCGTCCAGGAGAGAGCAGCTAAATGTTAGCATTAACTCGTGTTACTTGTGGAGATAAAATATCAACTTTGCATTTTTTACGCAAGAAAGAGGAGCGAATGGAGCCGCGAGAGTGCGTTGCTGTTAGCCAATCAGAAGAGAGATGTCCAAATATCATGAATAATAATGAGTAAGACTCCAAGTCCTTCCGTTTTCCACCCCCCACTCCCCCAGGTACCATCTAGCTCCTGAAACATGAGCGCCAGAGCTTTTTTTCCACTGAGATTGCCTCGTAAGGCATTCATTCGTACAAGACACCGCTGCAGATGTGTTGAAATAACGAATGCAGGCCCACTTGAAACCTGCCAGGTGTTTCATCAGATGTTTGCACATGAGCACACAGGGACAAAAACATTAGCACCTGTCCGTTGGCCTTTCGGCCGCAGCTGATGAAACGAGTCTTGGGTCGGAGGTCGGGAAGCTTGTCGGTGGACACGGGAGCACCGGGGAGGTGAAAACGAGTGGGTCATTAAAACGGGTTCAGAAATACAATGCTGGTGTTTTTAACACACACACACACACACACACACACACACACACACACACACACACACACACACACACACACACACACACACACACAGAACCCAACAGAAGGTGTCTCCACGCCGCTGCTGGAACGGTTCTTAACCATCCGACTCCAGGTCCGTTTCTGTTTGGTTCCAGAACTTTTATTTGTTTGCTTTTCTTTTCATGGCGTCATGTTTCAGGCCCGGATTCCTTGGATTGTGACACCCACCAGAAGGGCCTTTCAAGTGTCTCAAATGTCACATAGCGCACCCCCGCCCACCTTAAACCCCATCAATCCCCAGCTGAAAAGCTCTTATCGCTGGACGCTGACGTCCGAGAGGGGCTGAGCTTTCATTTGGAGCAGGGCTATTCTTATAACTCCCTGCTGTCCTGCGGCATTTGGGGACAGATTTATGTCCTCCTTTTATTCTTCCTGGATATTTTCTTAGACAACCTGCTCCATCTTCTAGCTGACATGTGAATCTGTGAGGCGGTGTAAAACAAGAAGCAGTAGATTTTGATGTTTGGGATCCCACCATGAGCTCCAGTCTGGTCAACTCTTTAGCCAAAGTGTACGATCCAAACCCTCTTCATGCTCAGAAGCTTCCTGGAAGGAAGTTCTCACTCAGTGGATCGGATAAGTCCCAAGCTCCTTCCTCCTCCTCACACCAGGATGCTTCCCTGCTCCGCGTGGAGAGCAGGATGGACTCCCTGAGCTCCCAGATGGAGCACCTGCTCCACATGCAGCAGAGCGTCCTGACCCGGCTGGATGGCCTGTCCCAGGACGTGAGGAGCATGGGACGGGATGTGTCTCTAGAGGGAGGCGAGGGGAGACGCGGGTCTGGGGTGGAGGCGCTGTGCAGGGAGCTGCGGGGGGCCATGGAGCGGGTGAGCGAGAGAATAGAGAGTCAGGGACGGAGGTTGGATGGGGTGGAGAAGCTGGTGGAGGGCACCCAGCAGGTCCTCAGCCTCATCGGGGAGGCGGTGAAGAACTCCAGGCTGCTGGAGGTTTTGTTCAAACAGCCGGGAAACAAAACCAGCCGGAAGGTGAGAAAAGGTTTTCCTACGGAAGCCCAGAGGGGCACAAGAGGCTTTCTTTTAAATGTCATGGTCTCATTCTGGAAAAAAAAAAAAAGTTGAACTCTTCTTTTCTCTGTTTTATTTATTTTGGTGTGGTTAAGTAAAGATACGCTCCAGATAAACTTTATTTATTTCTAATTTCTGAAAAGGAAAAAAAAAAGAGACTTTTTTTACCCCAAAATGAAAGCCGAGAAGAGTTTTGAGTTTTCCTTATTTGTCTTTTGGAATACGATCAGACGCATTTAGTAACGGGTTTAAAAAAACCAAATCATGTTTTTATATCAGTGGATTTTTTCAGGTGTGGCTGTTTGGTTCTCGGGACATTTTTTATATTTTAATAACGACGAAAACTTCTCCAGTCTTATGAATCATAAACACACGTATTTATTTGTTTGTTTGTTGTGGTTTTCCTTTCAGGGTTTCTCAGCTCTAACTCAGTCACGAAGGTTTCCTAAACTGATGATTATTGGATGATTTCATCAGGTGGCGGGCGCGCGAATGGCAGCTGAAGGAATCCGAAGTCTGTTTGAGGACTTCCTTAAATAACCTTTTTTATTCCTCTTTGTCGTGCCGTGGCGGCTGAAACCCGACATCTCAGGAATGTTGAGTAGTTTTCCTTCCTGCAGAAACCCTGGCAGGTGTAGAGGACCAGAGTCAGACGTGCTATCAGGCAGACTTTATCAGGCCTCGGCTGGAACTGCAGCTGGACAGAATCTGTGCAGCACTTAGCTGTTCCGTTCTGAGGAGGTGAGATTAACGTGGGCATAGATTAGATTATGTGTCCTGGAACATGAGCCCGCATGGTTCTGCAGTACAAGCTGAACCCCACAGGGTCACTTCTGAATATCAGCACGATTCTTGTTCTGCTGTTTACGACTCGGGTGCTTGTATTATTATCACTAATAACAAAAGACGGGTGACCTGTGACCTTTGGGGGGGGGGGGGGGGGGGGTCTAGTGTGTGGAGCCGCCACAGCAACAGAAACACCTCAGTGCTGCGCACAGCTACACATCAGCCGTGTCCACAGTAGACCCTCTGAACGGGGTTTCTATTTTACCTCACAGTACTGCTTTAATCAGTCGGATGCTGATTTATTTCTCTTTTTCTTCCAACTTTAAGGCAAAAGATGAAAAGGATAAAGCTAAACAGAACCTGAAGGGTGGGAAGTCCCAGAAGAAAAGGAAACCTCACGACTCATCAGGTAAAAAGTAGGACTTCATAAAAAAAAAGGGCCCCCTAAGCCTTCTTTATTCCCCTAAAACCTGCTAAATAATCCCAGAGTCCGACTGCAGAGGTAATAAAGCTGCGTTTGGTTCAGCGTAGTTTCTGCTTTTATCTGATCCACGACGGTTCTGAATGAAAGAAACACACCCCAGAGGCAACAGCTTCAGACCGGTTCATCAGGAAGTCTCATTACAGGAAATCACACACACACACACACACACACACACACACACCTCCAGTCCAACAATAGTGTCATAAAAAGCATAACCAGAGAACTTCCTGCTGGGTGTGTTACTAACTCTGAGATCAGGAAAAAGGACGACAGTCAATCCTTCACACGCTGGCGGTGAGGAGCTACATCGTAGCCACAGCTGCACACCGACAAGGCCATCCGTGCCTCCGACCACCACCAGAGAGTTTCCTGCTGCACTGTAAAAAACAAAAAACTCGTAGATTTGACGGGAAATCGCCAGCAGCTGGGGTTTCCACACCGTAAAATTACAGGCAAAGCCTTTATTTATTTTTAGAATTGTTTTTACGGTTAACCTCCCGAGACCCTGACCTGTATTTGATGTGATTTAAAAGAAAAAATACATCTAAATATTACAGAGTAGTCCGCTCTCATGAACGGAAACAAAATTACAAATATTGAAATAAATGAAAATTAAATTAAAAATGTGTCTGATTTCCTATAAAAAAAGAAAGAAAACAAAAACATTTAAGTCAATGTCATGTGTCTATAAATAATAACAAAAAGGTCAAAGATGATAAAATTTTAAAAGTGCAAGGAGCCAATGTCCACATATGTGGGCACAGGGCCCTAGGGGGTTAAAAATGGTACCAAAGTCGGTATTTTACTGTAAAAAATATGCTTTTTCTTTTAAAAAAAAGTCATTATTTTACCTCAAAATGAACAATTTATAAAATAAAATTTGTGCCACTAAAAAGTTTTTTTACACTAAAAACAAAATTGAAAGGGTTTCCTCATTACATACAACAAATTTATAGAATTAAATAACTAATTAACTGCCGAAGGAAGCCCAAGTCTCCTCCCCTCCCGGTCGACTCACGGGTCCCCGGAAAAACGAATAAACGAACGCGTCAGCGGGGCTAAAACGCTCTTTTCGTACCCGCTTTGCCTTTCGCCCTGGATCACACATGTTGTACTGCAATTTAAGTGAAAAGTAATGATGGGTGTTTCGACCACGTCAGTCACGTACTTTGAGATTTATCAGCTTGTAAAAGTTCGTAATTAGCATGACTACAAACTAGACATCATCACGTCGCAAATATGATGTCACCACAGAATCTCCTCCCTCCTAGCTTAGCTGCTGCTTACCACATGATCAGATTTATGGTGTTTATTCCACCTGAAGGACAGATTTCAGCTTCTTTGAATTTACAGCCATTTTCCCTCGGTTTTCTCCGTGTCTGGGTCGATGACGTCACTTTTGAGAAGCACATTTGTAGTCCTGGACTTATTTTCACACAAAACTTAAAGTAACGTGTGTATATATGTATATATATATATATATATATATATATATATATATATATATATATATATATATATATATATATATATATATACATATATATTTATATATAATTTTTTGGGGCAGTTTTTGGATGCCAGCCTTGTTTTCATTGGTAGTTGTTCAAGGACTTCTTAAGACATAAAAATAAATACTGAAAGACATTAAAGAGGTCCTTCACTGAGAAACAAGTTTAACTTTTTACATCCATCCATCCATCTATCCATTTTCATCCACTTATCCGGAGTTGGGTCACGGGGGCAGAAGCCAGACTTCCCTCTCCCCAGCCACTTGGGCCAGCTCCTCCAGGGGAATCCCAAGGCGTTCCCTGGCCAGGTGAGAGACATAGTCCCTCCACCGTGTCCTGGGTCTACCTTTAGGTCTCCTCCCGGTTGGACGTGCCCGGAAAACCTCACCAGGGAGGCGTCCAGGAGGCATCCTGACCAGATGCCTGAGCCACCTCAACTGGCTCCTCTCGATGTGGAGGAGCAGCAGGTCTACTCTGAGCCCCTCCCGGATGTCCGAGCTTCTCACCCTATCTCTAAGGGAGAGCCCAGCCAATTTTCGGAGAAAACTCACTTCGGCCACTTGAATCCGCAATCTCATACTTTCGGTCATTACCCAAATCTCATGACCATAGGTGAGGGTAGGAACGTAGATCGACTGCTAAATCGAGAGCTTCGCCTTCTGACTCAGCTCTCTCTTCACCACGACAGACCGGTACAACGCCCGCATCACTGCAGATGCAGCACCAATCCACCTATCGATCTCACGCTCCAGTTTTCCCTCACTCGTGAACAAGACCCCGAGATACTTAAACTCCTCCACTTGGGGCAGGACCTCATCCATGACCTGGAGAAGGCATTCTACCCTTTTCCGAATCAAGACCATGGTCTCCGATTTAGAGGAACTGATTCTCATCCCAGTTGCTTCACACTTGGCTGCGAACCGCTCTAGTGAAAGCTGAAGATCACGTTCTGATGAAGCCAACAGGACCACACCATCTGCAAAAAGCAGAGACCTGATCCTCAGGCCACCAAAATGGATGCCCTCCACACCTTGGCTGCGCCTAGAAATCCTGTCCATAAAGGTTATGAACAGAATCGTGACAAAGGGCAGCCTTGGCGGAGTCCAACTCTCCCTGGGAACGAGCCCGACTTACTGCCTGCAATGCGGACCAAGCTCTGACACCGGTCATACAGGGACCTAACAGCCCGTATCAGAGGGCCTGGTACCCCATACTCCCGGAGTACCCCCACAGGGCCCCCCCGAGGGACGCGGTCAAACGCCTTCTCCAAATCCACAAAACACATGTAGACCGGTTGGGCAAATTCCCACGCACCCTCCAGGATCCCCCTAAGGGTATAGAGCTGGTTCAGTGTTCCACGGCCAGGACGAAAACCACATTGCTCCTCCTGAATCTGAGGCTCAATAGTCCGACGGACCCTCCTCTCCAGAACCCCTGAATAGACCTTACCAGGAAAGCTCAGGAGTGTGATCCCCCTGTAGTTGGAACACACCCTGCGGTCCCCCTTTTTAAATAAGGGGACCACCACCCCGGTCTGCCAGTCCAGTGGGACTGCCCCCGATGTCCACGCGATACTGCAGAGCCGCGTCAGCCAACGCAGCCCCACAACATCCAGAGCCTTAAGGGACTCCGGGCGGATCTCATCCACCCCTGGAGCCTTGCCACCGAGGAGCTTTTTAACCACCTCAGCACCTTTTTTTTTATTTTAAAGTTTAACTGCATGAGAAAATTGCCTTGTACCCATTTCCAGCATCAGCTTGTGATAGAAAATGGGCTTCCTGGTTCTTGTATTTGACATCATGTTTTTATCTGTTGCTTTTATTTGTTAAACATTTTTGTAGACACATAAGAAACTCAAAGCCTTATAACCAGAATTTACAGTAAATAAAAGGTCTAAACAGGTCAGAAATGATCAGCTTGGTGGAGTTTGTAACGTTTGAATGACATGAAGGCTCAACTTTGTGCTTTACTTGTCTCAATGTTTTTCTTTCACTATTTTTTCCAAAAATATTCAAACAAAAACATACTTTTCTTGTGTGGAGCTCCTGTGTAAACAACAATAAATAAATAATGTATTAAAACAACACAAGATGTGAAAATGTGCATTATCTTAAGGAATCGGCTGGATTTTATAGCTCTAAAAATTCAATAATAAAAGTGTCTACTGAGGTGTAAGTGATTCAGCTGAGTGACGAGTCATCATCATTCTTTTTTCTCCAAATGCAGGCGCCTCGTCTCTAAACGGATCAGGGCCGCAGAAGCAGGTGGAGCAGCTCAACAGGGAAAACTCAGAGCATTCCCATGAAAACGCAGAAGCCGGCATCCGGAACTCCGAGGATGCAGGAAGTAAGGGCAGAAGACAGAAACCAACAGAACTGATCCTGGATGGGTCGAATGCTTCGGCAGGCCCAGCAGAGGAGAGGAGGAAGAGGGAAGGAGAGGATGACGAGGATGACGAGGATCTCTTTGATGATACGGATGCAGAGGAAGAGGAGCAGCAAGCAGAAGCGGTTCCAGAACAGAAAGTGGAGAATGATGTAAAGAAGAGGCTGAAAGGAGAGGAAGAAGAGTTAGAAACGGCTGCAGAGGAAAAGTATGTTTTAGCTACTCGATGTCTCAGGATTATCCAGGAAAATGAAATACTCTGAATTTGTTTTGCCTTTGAAGCTCGGAGGAGGCAGGAGACGTTGCTGCTTCCGGCAAACGCCACGTCACTGAGGAAGACCTGCTGAAGGACGACCTGAAGAAGAGCAGGGTGGAAAACGGGAAAGTGGGAACAGCTGATGACCAAGAAGCCTCAGAATCCCAGGAAGTGAAGGCAACAGATGAGGAAGTTGGAGAGCCCGGAGTGACAGAATTCCTCATCGGTGAGAGTTCAGAAAACAACAAAACATAGTCCAAAGGTCTTTTGGTTCTTTGTTTCTAACATGTGGAGATTTTATTTATTTATTTATTTTGGTAATTTAAAAGGAAAAGAAAGAACACCGTAAGACAGAATCTCAGTTGTAGTAACCAAAATGGTGTAGGCTGAAGCCTAAAAAAAAAAGAAATGACAATAATAAGATAAAAGTAACGTAATAATAAAAATGAGAGTGAGATAAAAATAATAATTATGATAATAATAATTGAAAAATATTGAGCAACAACAAACATAATTCAGCAAGAGGACAAATACCCAGAACTATACTAAACTACCAGTAATCTTAATAAGTCCATGTATGATAATGATCAAACCAGAGATTTAAATACTATCACTTGTGCAAGAACATTACATTTTCCTTCACATCTATCAGACACACTAGCTCACATACGGTCATTATGGTAGCATGACA